GGCTGGCTGTCTGCCCATCTGCCGCCTCTTTGCCCTGTTTGCTCCGTTACTCCCATGCCCTGGTGCGCAGTGCCTGGTGCTGGTACGTTACGTTACCCTTTCATTTTTTCTTTCGGCGGGTGTGGGAAGCGTCCTCCTTTATTTATTTTTTTTGTTATTTTTGTTTTGTTTTATTTTGATCAGTGTCCGAGGGCTCTTTTCTCGAACAGTAGGTGCGATACCTGTTCTTTTCTTTCTTTCGATCATTTTGTTTTCTTTTTCCGAGTGGTTTGTATCCTATTTTTGTTTTTTGTTTTCTCGCGGCGTCGTATGTGCCGGGTTTTGAGACCACGGGCTCCCCATTTTTTGTGGACTATAGAGCTAATGTGAGAAACAACAACAACAACAACAACAACTACGAGTGCACACCGACTCGTGAGGGCAGCAGCAGCATGTCGAGGCAGTTTACCACGCAACTACGTGATGTAATAGAGGGTATTCATATGCACTGCATGTATGTATACACGAATTGAACATACAACCCGATATCCCACGGTCGGTCCGCAGTCGGCAGCCATGAATAGGAAAGATGCCATGGATACGTACAGTGTTGGGAGGTTCTGAGACGTTCCGAGGCTATTCGATGTTCTGCCGTGCGGTGACGTGGAGGTCGATTTCCGCTCGATTTCCGCCGTCTGTATGTGGACACAAAGTGGGTACAATTTGGACAAAAGTGGGTCGAAAGATTGTTGTTGTTGTTGTTGTTGTTGTTGTTGTTGTTGTCTTCGCATTAAGAACCGTTCCGATCTCTCTCTACCCAGTACCTTCGCATGTTCGTACTGATGCAACACTCGACGCGGTCGATTCCCGTGGTCGCAGGCTAACTTAACCTAAAAAGTTACACTCAAACAAAATGGCCCCCGAGGGGTCCGCAAGTCAACAGAATCAACGACAGATATTCTGGAGTCCTCCGCTCCCTCTGCGCGCTATGCGAGGTATAACAACTGAGACTAGGGGTCACCATCACGGGCCGGAGAGAATGAGGTACACCCCCTTGGTTCAATCTTGGTACTTCACAACGCAAGCAGAGACATGGCCATCTGGCACAGAAAAAGAGAGAAAAAGAGAAAAAGAGNTATAACAACTGAGACTAGGGGTCACCATCACGGGC